GGTCCGCACTGAAATACTTGTCGGGAGGATACTTTATAAAACAAGGTAAACTTTTTTTTATTTTTTTTTATTTTTACACATATATTTTGGTTTATCTTCCTTCTACAATCATTATCTGAAAATTAATGACTCAACTTCAAAGTATAAGTATTGTAAAATCCACAACTCATTCTGTGGTTGTCCCGCTGATGAATCTCTATGCTTCATCGGCTGCCAAATAAAACCACACGTGCAGAATAGATGAATTTTATAACGTTTAATATATGCCTCATTGTTATTTGAAAATAGCTATCGAGGTGGTCGAAACGTTAATGCAATAATTCTGCATCTGTCATTTCATTTGGCGGCCAACAAAACATAGAAATGAATAAATATTACGAGAATTAAAATTTTTGCAGCTTTCTCCCATCAAGTTTTCGTATTTTTGAACATGAAGATTGAAGTATCGCAATGATCCAGGAGTGGATGTGACTGGAAGTATGGTTTTGGTAACATTTCACTTATTGCTCAATCAGCCACCTTTTTGCAATGAACTCACTCTAATAAATCTCTGTTGTCAAACGTTCATCTAAAAACGCCGACAAATGGCGAGCTTTTGATTGATGTGTTTATAATTTTTCTATTTCCCAATACCTAAACATCCGTTAGAATGACAAATCAGAAACTGCTGCTGGCGCCCGTTGCTAGTAGAAAATAATAGCCACTCAACTTTGCAGATGCTTTTAGATGATTAAGGTATAACGGGATATTAGCTTCTGCTTAATTGCATGGTTTCAATAACATCCTGTATTTTCTACCAAAGCATTTGTTTCCATTGATATTACTCGTTATAGTAATTTATTAATTTTCTCAAAAGCGAGCAGTAATAATTTCGTAGATTCACTGTATTTCCATTTGTGTTGGCGGATGCTTCAATATTTGGTCAAGTGCCGTTTGATCTTGATCTTATATAGTAAAACACGCAAAACGCTTTATTTTTCTTGGAAATGAGAAAAACAAACTGGAAGAAGTAACATTTTCAATTTGGAGTTTCGAAATCAACGGAGTTATATTTTTCAGCAATTGTTTACACAATAAATTGCCAATATGTTTGAATGATTTCACTGCTTGCCCAAAATCAATTCCTAATGGATCCTCGAAGAAAATGTAAACGCAGATCCGGAAGGTTTAAGCAACTGATCGGTCAATCTATAGGGATCCCGTTCGGAAAGTTTTATTCAAATACGTTAAATGCTCTGTCAACAATAAAACTTTTCTGGAAGGAATGATGTTAACTAGGCGTAATGTAATTTCTGGCAATGCATCCATAGAAAGGCTAACTAAATTTTATTTACATATATTTACAGATTATTCCATTGGAGCTGTCCATGTGTCCAAAAGTGACATGCGAATTTCTTTGACATTATGTTTAATAATTTCAATGAAACGAAGCAGTTACATCATATTTAGTAAATTCTAATGTCAACCTTAATGCAAAGTAGATCCTAAATTGGTACGTGAAGTTTGAATTTCCCGGGTACAGTTATGTTGGTAACCGTTCTCCGTGTTGTGACGTTGTCGCAAAGCTTGTCAGGAAATTACGCCAACGGCTGTTGTTTATTTATGGTTTATTTCCTAGGATCTAGTAGTTTTAAGTAATGTGGCAACCATGTGCTTTACTGTCATTATTTGACGTTGTGACGTAACTGCGATCACTCAGTGAATACATTATAGGTTTCTTATGATATTATACCATATACCCACTGTAGAGAACAGACAAGCCGATGTCGAGTCCAGAAACAAATATAACGAAGCGGTTCGCAATGCCAAAAACCAGCATGATATAAAAGTTAGGCACAGGGTAATGTCGCAGCGCAATGGCAGTCGGTCTTTCTGGACGCTGGCCAAGCAGATTGAAAAGAACTTCTCACACAGTAGCCTTCCACCACTTACGTGTCAGGATGGAACTATTGTATTCGACTCAAAGGCCAAGGCGGAAGTGCTAGCCAAGATCTTTGCTGCCAACTCCACCATGGACGTCCCCACCAACGCCCAAGTGCCGTCAATTCAAAGGGTTCCCCACACTATGCGGGAGGTAACATTCAGGCATAAGACCGTAAGACGAGTGCTGTTGTCGCTCGACATCAACAAAGCTTCTGGTCCGGACTTGATTCCTGGCATTGTACTGAAGAGATGTGCAGCGGAGCTTGCTCCAGTTCTTTCGCGTCTCTTCCAGATATCTTATGAATCCGGCACCTTCCCAGAAAACTGGAAATTTGCTCATGTACAGCCCATCCCAAAAAAAGGATCTAAAACCGACCCTTACAACTACAGGCCTATAGCTCTGCTTTCTGTTATAAGTAAAGTGATGGAGCGGTGCATAAATCGCGAGCTTCTGGACTACCTCGAACGTCACAGCTTGATTAGCGACAGGCAGTACGGTTTCCGGCACCAACGGTCCACAGGGGACCTCCTAGCTTACGTCACGCAACTGTGGAGTAAACTCATCCTGTCTCATGGTGAGGCTCATGTCGTTGCTCTTGACATCACGAAAGCGTTCGATCAGCTGTGGCACGCTGCCCTCTTAAGCAAACTTCCATCCTACGGCCTCTCAGAAAAGCTTTGCAGATGGGTGGCTGACTTTATCTCTGGCCGCAAGATATCCGTCGTAATTGACGGATTCTCTCTTCATCCCACAACGTCAACGCGGGTGTTCCCCAGGGATCGGTCTTGGCTCCAACACTGTTTCTCTTACATATCAACGACCTCCTTTCCTGCACGATCAACCCAATCCACAGCTTCGCTGATGACAGCACTCTACATGCAGGAATTCAGAGTGACAAGCCGATCTCTGCCGCTGAGCTGGAAAAAAGAAGACTAGCGACGACTTCTTCTCTGACAAGAGACCTGGAGGTTATCACTGCTTGGGGACGCAACAATCTTGTACAGTTCAATGCTTCCAAAACACAGTACTGTACTTTGACGAACAAAAAGCGTCCCAGCGCTCATACAGTTTCGATGGACGGTCGAGTTCTACCAAAGAGCCATTCATTTCGGAGTCCAGATCACCGAGGACCTGATCTGGCACGAACACATCTCTTCAATAGCTGCAGCTGCTGGGAAAAAGCTAGGCTATTTGTTTAGGGCTAAGAAATACTTTTCTCCGCATGACCTTCTCACTCTATACAAGGCCCAGATAAGGCCTAGCCTCGAGTATTGCTCACACATTTGGGGTGCTGCCGCCCCGACTACATTGTCCATGCTCGATGCTGTCCAGAGGAGGGCGGTCCGACTGATTGATGACTCTTCTCTAACAGACAGTCTCGGGACTCTTTCGCACCGGCGGGCCGTCGGCGATCTAGCTCTTTTCTGTCGCTACACCAACGGGTTTTGCTCATCAGAGCTCTCTTCCATGATGCCGCCGCCCGATGTGCCTGCCAGACAGACCCGCCTGACTTCGGCGTCCCATCCTAACCGTGTCAAACTTCGTACATCCAGAACTGGCCGATACGACCACTCCTTTGTCTCGAGGGTGTCTAGATTGTGGAACAATCTACGGGAGGAAGCTTTTCCCAGTTCTACTAACCAAAACTCGTATTAACAAAATTTCTTTGGGATCATCATAGCAGCCGCGGTGTTCCGGCATTTAGGCTTCTGCCTGCGCGGCTGTTTCGATATAAAAAAAAAAAAAATATGTAGATTTCATGCTCACTTGTAGCAAGCTCGGAACTTTGCTCACTGACCTGCTTAGTCAACAGGGTGGTGTTTTATTGTTTTATTTTTTACATTATACAGGGTGGCGCATCGAAAACGAAACAGACGCATTTACTGGTAGCTTAGTTTTTTTTTGAAAAACGCTCAGACCCCTAAGCGGGGTGACACCACCCCCAAAATTTTAAATGGAAAGGAGGGTCGAGTGATACCTTATTTTAAAGGTATTTCAATTCCCTTTATAATGATGTAAAATACATGAGCTTCAGTTCAGTAGTTTTGAAGATTTATTGACTTAAAGCTTAAAGTAGGCTTTAATAGGTACATCAGACTAGTTTGTACTACTTTCAAAAGAAATTTGACTAAAAGAATTTACTTAATAACTAAATGCTTTTCTTCACTGCTCTCCATTTAAGATTTTAGGGTTGGTGTTACCCCCGCTCAGGGGGCTGCACTTGTTAACGTGATTTTTTTCCAAATTTGTGTCCGTCTCGAAAACAAAATTTACGGGTCTGAGCGTTTTTCCAAAAAAACTGAGCTGCCAGTAAATGCCTATGTTTCGTTTTCGATGCGCCACCCTGTATACTGTATGACTATATACTTAGTGAGGTTAAATTCTTCAATTTTTTTTTTTTGGCAACATAGCGACTATATTTGTAGCATGCTGTGACTGCAATACCTTTGCTTTTGTTTACCTTTGTTAAAATGTTATCTCTTAGTTTTTGTAAAGAAAGCAGTTTCTGAGAGCTGAGTAATACATATATATTTAGTTATTGTCCTCTCGTTTACTAGTGTCAAACATCAAAAATGCCTCGAGTTCAAAGACGTCCAATTTATCACCATGTTAGCGACTTTGACAGGGGTGGAATTATTGCCTATATGATTTGTCCTACCGCGAAACTGGCCGCCGTGTTCATTGTACTGCAATGGCGGTAATGCGTGTGTGTCGTGTGTGGATAGAAGAACGAAATATGCCAACAGGTCCACCGAGGCGTACCACAGAACGTCAAGGTAGGCGCTTTTCTACGATACCGTTTTGCTACTGCGCGTCAGATCGCTGATCAATGCTTTGGACTTTTTTCATACGGTCCGCGGTTAGGGCTTCCTCTGACTGCGGACCACTATCATCAACGTTTGAACTAGCACAGAAAACGACAACATGGGGAGGCAGAATGCCATAATGTCATCTTCAGCGACGAATCGCGATTCAAAACATCAAGTTGAAGAAATATTTTTTTCCTCGCATTCTATCTTAATTGATTCATCCATTCATGTTTCAAGAAATCCTCATGTCTTGCCTTTTATATGCACTTACCTGAAAAAACAAGCAGAAGCACACCCACTGATAATACCGATACACCTTCTTCTCCTTCTCGTCGTGCGTCGTCCTTATCCCAGGATTCCCGGGCAGGTACATCTTGGCGTAAGGCTCCTGCTTGTTCGTGGATACCGTGAACGTCGAATGTATCCAGCAGAAGGTGTTGAAGACGTCCTCGGGGATCTCCTTGGTGTGGATGCAATCAATCGGGTTCCCGACGTACTGTCTCGTGGTGACGATGAGACTGAAGGCGATGAGGATCGAGACGGTGATCGAATGGTGCAGTCGGAAGACTGGCGAGTCGATGTGGATGTGACTGACGCGGACGAGCGATTTGAGGCCGCGGAAAATGTCCAACATTTTACCATCACTTCCGCATCGTCGGCACTAGTTCGTTTTAAGTCATTGTTCGTTGGTCGCGGATCGTCGTAAGTCACTAACATTTAGTGTTCGAAAGGTCGCTAAGTTGAGATGTAACTATACGTTTGCATTGTTAGGTCATTCTGGAATGAAACGTTGCTGCAGCTAAGCACGGAAATGGAAGAGAAGTGACCCATTATGTACTAAGTGACATATAAATCCGAACACCCAGTTTCAACGGTTTTATTTTAATAAAAGTTGGTGAAGGTATTTATCTTACTGTAAATAACAAGTGAAAAAATTTTCAGCCTTATCAGTTGGACATTTTGGTTTTTATACTACTTTTTTTTAATTCACTAACGCTCTAAAAATGAATATTTCAGCCGCAGTAAAGAATCAACGTTGGCGGATTTTGGTTCTTGACATCCTTTACGATCGGTTACGATGCCTGGAGTACGGAGACCTGTACGATTTCGTCAACTTAGTAAGTTTGTTAGGGGCCGTATAATGGGACTTCGGGAAGCTGGACTTTCTTTTCGGGCAATTGCAGTTAGAGTGCAAAGAAGTGTAGACACTGTGGTTAGGTGTTGTCAGGCATGGCTTCGAGAAGGCCGTACGCAAAGAGCAAGGGGCACTGGACGCCGCCGTAGAACAACACACCGTGAAGACCGCCGCCTAAAATTATTGGCCTTAAGGGACCGTTTCTCCACTACCAGGTCCATTGCAAATGAATGGTTTGCAGAACACGGAAGACCTATTGGCATGCGAAGTGTTTACCCACGTTTTGGCTTGTTTTCATACCGGCCACACTGGGTCCTCCCTTTAACTCGAGAACACCGACGTAATCGCCTTGAGTGGTGCAGACAACGGTCACTCTGGGATCAGGAATAGAACAGTATTGTCTTTAGTGACGAGTCTCGATTTTGTTTAGGCATGCACGATGGTCGTGCCAGGGTTAGAAGGCGACGTGGTGAAAGGAGGAATCCACAGTTTTTTGTTGAAAGACATGTTCATCACACTGTTGGACTTATGGTTTGGGGTGCTATAGCTTATGGTTCCAGGTCACCTTTAATCTTCATCAGAGGTAACATGAACGCGCAGCGTTATATCCACGAAGTTCTAGAACCCCATCTTTTACCCTACCTTGACACCCTGGCAGATCCAACTTTCCAACAAAATAATGCCCGACCACATGTTGCAAGAGTCACAATAGGCTTCTTTCAACATAACGATGTCACATTGTTACCATGGCCACCAAGATCTCCCGACTTATCCCGAATTGAGCACGTGTGGGATATGATGGGTAGGAGATTGCTCAATTTGCAACGTCCTCCTCAGACTCTAGAAGCACTTCGAGAGGAGTCCGTGGTTGCCTGGAATGAGATACCACAGGAGGACATTGACCACCTGATCAGAAGCATGCCTAGGCGCGTTGGAGAATGCGTAGCACATCAGGGTGCATCGACACATTATTAAAGGTCAAAGGGCTTTAAAGCAGTGCAATCATTTTGAAATTTTTATCATTTACTTATTATGCTTCATTAAGTACTTATACAAAATTTTATTAAAACAAAACCATTTAAACTGGGTATTCGGATCTATATGCCACTTAGTATATATCACTGCTAGCGAGAATTAAGTATGCATTGCATGGATCTCACTAGAAGGGTGTGCCAAAAAATGAAAGTTCCTTTTCTGTCAAAACAATTGTAAATAAAGCTTCATGTATCTGGAGTAAGGGCAACCCATGCCGAGTTGCATTGGAACGTGTCAAAACTTGCATACCAGGCGCGCTCTAGTCAACGTATTGCAGTGCTCGTTTGTTCTGTAAGTAAACGCACTGTTTTCGTTCAGTCAACATGTCAAAGGAATTACGCAGTTCTAAAAGGGAATATTTTCAACAGGACACGTAAAGCATCAAATAACCGGTTTAAAACTTCCCTCTAATGGACAAGTACTAGCAGTTTTGTTCTATAATATCCGGAAAGTGAAATTGAATGTTAATGAGAGTGCCAAGCTTACTATTCGTGAATGCATTAACCTCCAGAATGTTTTGTCACATTTTTTTTTTGGCGACGTAACCTATACTAAGTGACATATAAATCCGAACACCCAGTTTAAATGGTTTTATTTTAATAAAACTTGATGAATGTATTTATCTTACTGTAAATAACAAGTGAAAAAATTTTCAGCCTTATCAGTTGGACATTCCGGTTTTTATACTGCTTTTTTTTAATTCACTAATGCTCTAAAAATGAATATTTCAGCCGCAGTAAAGAATCAACGTTGGCGGATTTTGGTTCTTGACATCCTTTACGATCGGTTGCGATGCCTAGAGTACGGAGACCTGTACGATTTCGTCAACTTAGTGAGTTTGATAGGGGCCGTATAGTGGGACTTCGGGAAGCTGGACTTTCTTTTCGGGCAATTGCAGTTAGAGTGCAAAGAAGTGTAGACACTGTGGTTAGCTGTTGTCAGGCATGGCTTCGAGAAGGCCGTACGCAAAGAGCAAGGGGCACTGGACGCCGCCGTAGAACAACAGACCGTGAAGATTGCCGCCTAAGATTATTGGCCTTAAGGGACCGTTTCTCCACTACCAGGTCCATTGCAAATGAATGGTTTGCAGAACATGGAAGACCTATTGGCATGCGAAGTGTTTACCGGCGAATGAGAAGTATTGGCTTGTTTTCATACCGGCCGCACTGAGTCCGGTGGTGCAGACAACGGTCACTCTGGGATCAGGAATGGAACAGTATTGTCTTTAGTGACGAGTCTCGATTTTGTTCAGGCATGCACGATAGTTGTGCCAGGGTTAGAAGGCAACGTGGTGAAAGGAGGAATCCACAGTTTTTTGTTGAAAGACATGTTCATCACACTGTTGCAGTTATGGTTTGGGGTGCTATAGCTTATGGTTCCAGGTCACCTTTAATCTTCATCAGAGGTAACATGAACGCGCAGCGTCATATCCACGAAGTTCTAGAACCCCATCTTTTACCCTATCTTGACACCCTGGCAGATCCAACTTTCCAACAAGATAATGCCCGACCACATGTTGCAAGAGTCACAATAGACTTCTTTCAACATAATGATGTCACATTGTTACCTTGGCCACCAAGATCTCCCGACTTATCCCCAATTGAGCACGTGTGGGATGTGATGGGTAGGAGATTGCTCAATTTGCAACGTCCTCCTCAGACTCTAGAAGCACTTCGAGAGGAGTTGGTGGTTGCCTGGAATAAGATATCACAGGAGGACATTGACCACCTGATCAGAAGCATGTCTAGGCGCGTTGGAGAATGCGTAGCACATCAGGGTGCATCCACACATTATTAAAGGTCAAAGGGCTTTAAAGCAGTGCAATCATTTTGAAATTTTTATCATTTACTTATTATGCTTCATTAAGTACTTATACAAAGTTTTAGTAAAATAAAACCATTTAAACTGCGTGTTCGGATTTATATGTCACTTAGTATATATAGCCACAAAATGATTCTTTTCAAAACGCTAAAGCTAAGCTGCAAGTCCTGAGAGCAGCTAACGATACGGAAGAAAGAGCAGTCAAGTAAATGCAAGACTTTCATAGCTTTATCGATGCTAATGAGGAACAAAAACAATTTCTATTACTTTACATACAAGAACACAGGCAGGTATATCCTGACCTTAAAAAAAAAGGGTTTTTTGAACGATGGATATCTAAGGAATATAAGATACAAATAAACCAGTGCTTTATTTGTCGAATAACAAATATGTAAGTTTTGGAATTCATTCAAGGTTTCCCTATTAACTAATATTCAAAGTACATATGACCCAAAGTCATCGTTCCCCGATCGCAAAAATATTTATTCTTCGAGTTTTCAGAGTCGGAAAGAAAAAATTCTAACAAAAATTTGTTCTCCCTCATAGGCTGGGACATCCTACTCGCCATGCACAGGGATAGCACCCAAACCAGTTGCATACAATGTGTCACTCTACTCTCTTCCATTTTTATAGTAGACTAGACGGTTAGGCACTTAAAACACTATATGGCGGGTGGCACAAGATTGAGTCAGTTTTTCAAACTAAAGCAACCGCGAAGACAAATCATAATTACGAAAGTTCAACTATGAATAGGTTAAAGAACCTCATCAAGTAAAGATATCTGGTTGGAGCAGCAGCTCTTTAGACATGTGAACAGTACTGCCAGGTACTTCTAGTGAAGAGATTAATTACGAACAATTTTGTCAGATAGACAACCCGGAAGCAAGGAGTGGATAATGACAAGATATAACTGGGGTCCACCAATCAGTTTGTTGAAAGGAAAGATACGAAGTATACAACAGTTGTGGTACAGATAAGTAGCAAGTTATTAAGCAGCAAGAAGAGTGGGATGTCTTCGAGTTTTATGATCTTCTGTAGATGCTAGCCCAGCGAAGATAGTTGCTGGAAATCAATATCAACATAATAAAGCGTCGCTTAAATTGAACAGAAGCTGTGGGTTAATCAACAGACACGCGTTCTCACGTATAAGAGGTATCCTCCGACGGATGATGTACCACAGGCAGGCAGTACTACTTTTTGAAACTCTGGGACTAGAAGAGGTAAAATCGGAAGGGTTTACTTTCATGTCTATGTACTTCTACTGAAAGGACTGATCTTGGAAATGTGGACAGAGCAGGCAGCCGAACCAGTACCATGTATTAAACATACACTTTCTCATCAGTTCAATCGTTTTAACACATTGTTTCCTGGCTAGCTGCGAAATGCTAGTAAATCAAGTCTGACCCCAAATCCAAGCAAGACTCCAGTTATTTTTTCGACATGCTCAAGATTCATGAATAGCCGCTATTACTCTTATTCATTATTTAAAAATATCTTATAAACCTGTCAGAACTATAAATCTTCATAATAATATCAGATCTACTTTAATATGTTGATTTTTCTAGCTTGTTGCTTCCTGCACAAAGCGACGCCATAAGTTAAATATTTATGGCTGTTTAAACATGTGAAAGTTGAACATGAAAGGAGAAGAAATGTTACGAAATCGTTATTTGGAGGACTTCGACGGAGCACTATTTGCGCTGTATACGTATATACAGGGTAATTTAACAAGCTTCTACAAACAGGCCCTGGTAATTGGTGTATTCAATCTAAGTCAGCGTTTTATTAAATTTAATCAAACGATTGCG